CTAGGGATAGTAATACCCGACTTGAGCTATTATCACATGACTTGCATGAATACCCAGTTGGACTTGAGAAAGCCAAATTGGACAAAATCACTCAAACTATCGAGAGATATAGAGTGAGTACTTGGGTGTGATGGCTATATTACGATCTCAAATTAATCAAGATTACCCTAGATTCTTACTACCCGTTAGATGTCCACCTAGGCGAAAGTCACTACCCTAATCCTTTTAAATAGTTGAAAACCAACATAAAAAATATTGTACTTAGCTTTAATCATTGCATAGAATATAATAGAATTAAATGTAGAATCGACCCCATCATGTTTGGAAGTGCAATTAGGAGCAACACACGCATCTAGATTTACATATAAACCTAATTTCAAATCAATTAACTCCATGTGAAAATCGATCCTGGCCTTGTTGGGTAAAAGTGCATCGACCATCCTCGCTGCTCAATAGTGGTGTAGGTTTGGACCCGATCACTTTTCTCCCGTCGTACGAACTTGTTCCTCATGTTTTCTCCAATTGATTGTATTTGCTCATAGAGCTCATCCAGTTCACGTCTCATTTCCCCGTTTCTGGTTGTCGTCTCCGGCATGATTACTTTCCCAAAATCGGCCGTGCTGATACCAATGTTGTATGCTTAATCGAAATTAAATACAATTCTGCTGAGATCTAAGAAACCAAGAGTAGGAATGGCTTTTGAACAATCTTCATAGGAGAAGGTTCTAGAATTTAGGAGTTTAGAGAAGAAGAGTTATTATTTATTATTCGGAATATCCCTTCAAATCAGGTGGTGTTTCCCTTTTATTAAGATCCCTCTAACAGGTCCTAACCACCCCCTAACTAACTTCAGCCGCCCAACTAACTTCAACTAACTTTCTGAATACAAAGACTGTTATGCCACTTACTAACTACTTACAATGACTCTTATTGCCCTTAACTGCTTTGGTATGTAACACAACTTGATAGTATATTTATAAAAAATTTAAAAATATTATATATATATAAATATTTATTGTAATGTAATTTATAAATAATTCTTAAACATTTTCACAATTTTATCTTTTAACGTATTATTTCAAGTTTGGACTTAACATTCTTGAACGGTAAATAAATTTTATAGCTAATAAATATAGTAACTCAAATAAAGTTCAAATCAATACTAATACTAACAAAAAAAATTCAATTCAACACTAGGAATGATGATAGTGTTGGATATCTATTTTTAGTTTTACATTGGTTTATAATGAAAATACATAACTTAGTTTATCTTTTTCTTTAGTGCTTAGTTATGTAACTAATAATACTTATTAGATATACTTATTTTAGTATGACCTATATAGTATTTTTAATTATGCTAATTTTCATTATAGATTTCTAATTAGCAATATTTACTTTATGTAATTTTAAATTATCTTTGTTATTGAATATTTTAGTATAATGCTATGACTTATTTTATATTATTGTGTTATTTTCTTGAAAAATATATTATATAGTTGTATCTTACTAGGACTTAAGAAATATTTAGACCACAAGTTATATATTTTTTGCTATGAAGACTTTACCGGACAAAATTCAAAAGTCCGAAAAAATCAAAAAACCCGAGATTCAAAAATCGACTTTAAAAATCCGACACCATTGGTTTGATTTGGTAATTGAAAAATTTGAACCAACACGACCTATATACACCCCTAATATTGAGATTGTATTTTTTTTTTTTTAATATATTAGGTTATGAGTATTAACTACTAGTATATGTTTTATTCTAAAATTTAGGTATTAACTATCTCATATAGAGTGTGGTTAACAATTACAGAACTAAAATACTAAACTTATTAATCTAAGGATAATCCTATTTGAAATTAAACAACTCCTTAGTGCTTTAAGTTATATACCTTGTTTGTAGGATTGCTTATATCAAGTTATCATTTTATTTTATAGATTATAGTACGAGACTTAATATGGAGAGTTATATATTGTTGTAGGTCAACTTAACTTCATAGTATATAAAATTATATTATGAATGCACCAAACATAAACTCTTTAATCTTTTTACTCCACAACTATACATAAACATGGGGACAAATAGTTCATTGCTAAATAATTGATTAAAATAAGCAGTTCCTTCGAAGGGGTAAATAGTCATTAGCTCAACAAAAAAGCACTTAATAAAAATAAAACAAGTATTTTGATGAAGAAGATATTCAATCTAAAACCGTGACTAAAATAACCAAAACAACTCAAACAAAGTGGACATCAATCTCGGATTCCCCCACCCCTCACCCCCAACCCCCACCCCACAAAACGGCGGAATATTTCTCTTAGAACTTAAGAAAACAAAAGTGCATTAAAGCATAGTACACTTACAAATTCATGACACGTAGCTTATGCTTTGTCCATCTCCAAGTCCAATTTCCATTTTAAGAACAACATTAACCTAACACTTAAAAGTCATGCTCTTAACCGAGGCTTTTGTATCTATACTCCGGTACTGAAGTTATACTCACTTTGCAAAGAAATATTTACAAGTTTATTCATTTTACAATCAACTTCAGATTTATTAGTTCTTGAGTTAAAAAAAATTAGTTTGAAATGCAATGCACTTAAGGCCAATTAATTTGAAGTGCAATACACTTAAGGCCAAATATGTCTTAAGCGCAATAAATATTTTCATGCATTTAAGATCAGAGAGCTCTGAAGTGAAAATATTACATTTCAGATGCACTTAAGGCCAAATAGGTCTGAAGTGCAAGCAATGGCTACATGCACCTCACGCCAAAAAGTTTGAAGTGAAAAAATTACACTTCAGTTGCACTTAAGGCCAAATAGGTTTAAATTGCAACCAATGGTTTCATGCACTTAGGGTTAATAAGTTTGAAGTGAAAAAATTGCACTTCAGATGCACTTAAGGCCAAATAGGTCTGAAGTGCAACTAACGTTTTCATGCACTTAAGACCAAATGGGCCTAAAGTGCAAATTGCTCATAAACAAAAATTTGTTCTTCGAATTTTAACAATTCAATATACGATTTAGCATCTAAATCTACTCCAAATGAGCTCAAATTTGAAACATAACCTCCAAATATCATCAAGAATAAACCCAATCATTAATTTATCAAAACAACAATAAATCTAACTCACCCATTTTGCAATTAAGAAAAAAAAGAAGAAGAAACCCTAAGCAATAGTAAAAAATAAAGCGCCACAACAGCTCACCACTGTAAAACATCATAAACTACCTTAAAATATGTTCACAAACACCATATAAAATCACTGTCATCCGAAGAAGAAGAAGAAGAAGAAGAAGAAGAAGAAGAAAGAGGGAAAAAAGGTCTGAAATTGTTTAAACTTTAGGTACTAGTTAAAAAAAAATTAAAAAGTGAGTACAGGTTAAATGGGAGCGACCAAATAGGGTGCCCCGTGCAATTTTTACCTCTTAACATGCATCAAATCGTTTGCCCTTAATTGGGCCAAGTGACGAAATGACCCATATCTTCAACTATAAGGCCCTACAAAATTGGACCAAATCTAAAGATTGACCCAAAATTGTGTTCATGGCAGCCTACTGGGTCAAGTATGAGATGACATAAAAGTGGGCTTTAAAAAGGAGAGAAATTCACGTCGGAAAAAACAAATAGCATCCAGTAGCCATAAATATTAGTCAGACAATTCATAACCCCAAACTAATTATACCGGCTAGCCCAAACTTATCGTATGCAGACTATTTTTACTTCTCTTTCTTTTTTTTCACGGTTCAAATTTTCCGTAAGTACACGTTTTGTTAGGCGCAGAAGAATTAGATGAGCAAATTAAAGAGCTTACAAGAGATAATGCGAGCATAATGTCATGTGGCAGAGTGAATACTAACACCTCAGAATTGCCACGTATCAATTTGGACAACAAATGTACACAGTACAGTGTGCCAACTGTACTGTCCCCAAAACAAGTACCTATCAAACTAATAGGGCTACACGCTGCAGAGACTGTAATGTTGTGCTATCATGTATGAATCTTCTACTCGGCATATGTAAGCTCAATTTTCTTTATTCTTTTTTTCCCAATTTCGGAGCTTGAAAGAGAAAATAAGATCTTGAAATTAGTGGTCATGAATAAATCATAAATTTTTTTGTGATTATAAATTATCTCATCGAGAGTGAAATAAAAAATTTAGTATAATACATACACGCACACATTTTTTATACATTATAAAGTTATATATATATATATATATATATATATATATATAGACACACACACACATACATCATAGAACAGTCTATACATTTTGGATACACAAAAATGCTCGGGGATACATTAAGGATATATTAGGGATACATTAGGGATACACTTTATATACAAATTTTATACATTGTGCAATAATATATACACTTTTATACATCGATACAATAGTCTATACACCTTAGATAGATAAAAGTGCTCGGGATACATTAATGATACACTAGGGATACACTGCAAAATGCACGATACAATTTATAACCAATAGACTGTCACTATACAAAATATATAAAAATAGACTGTCACTATACAAAAAATATACTAAATAGATTGTCAATATACAAAATATACTATCACTATACAAGAAATATACTAAATAGATTGTCACTATACAATTTATATACAATAGACTTTCACTATACAAAAAATATACAAAATAGACTGTCACTATACAAAAAAAATATATAAAATAGACATTTCGGACTATTAAATATAATTTGTTTGGACCGGAGGGACTTTTTGTGTCAATGGGAAAAAACATGGGCTGTTAAAATTTTGAGGGGCTATAAATGGTCATTTTCTCTTGACACATTTAGCCACTCGACCACAAATGAAATGTTCTATTTTAAGTTACAATATTCACTAGTGTTACGCAACAATTGAAGAAACATAGTCTATGTTATTTCCTACAAGTCCCATTTTAGGTCCCCCCAAAAGAAGAAAAAAGAAAAAAAAAAGGACCCAGCCATTATGCAAGAAATGTAATAGCAAAGAACACGGTGAACACATATCTCATTTATAATTTACAGCTTTTCTCATAAAACATTATCATAAAATTACTTTCATACAAACTTGTCCCCTATGATATTATAACCTATTTTCTTCTTGAAAAGCAAACTGTTTACTCATAGAAGCTCTTTTTGCTTGCTCAAACAACTCATACCAGTGGATTACTCTGAAAATATATACACATAAATGATAGGAAATCTTAACATGTTGGAAGATCTATGGGAGGAGGTAAAAGAGATTCTTCAGGGCCATTTCCATTATCAACCACAAAAGCCATCTTCAGTCCCCATGTTGTGTGCACCTCCAAATGGCAATGGAGAAACCAAATCCCTATAAAAATCAACCCAAAGAAATAAAAAGATTACAAAGTTGAAATCAGTTCAAACAACATAATTTTTACCTTTTAACTGTAAGATAATTTTCCCATAATTCGGTTATTTAAAAGATAACTATACGTATCAGTTCTCTATAAATGGTATCATCAACTTGAAACGTAAGGCATGTAACTTGTTATAACAGGTTAAAATATACTAATAGTGAAAAAGTTCTTTATACTGTCAATTTAAATAACGAAGAGCCTTTATTTCTAGAATAATTTACCAGGATTATTTGCCGTGAACCTGATAGCAACCCAACCACCAGAAGGGGCATTTATGGTGTTCCTCTCAACAGGGTCAACAAGATTGAACTTATTAGGGTCTTCCTTTGGATCAAAATTTCCTCTGCCTCTTCCAACCACAAAGAAATTGAAGCCATGTAAATGCATTGGATGGTTCTCAGGACTCAACAATCCTGTATCTTGCATTATTAATTGGACATTAGAATTATAAGCAAGTCTATATAGCCTAGTCCCTTCCATTGTCCTCAGGTTTTCTGGTGGAATCCCTGTGTAGTCAAATGTATATGCTGGATTTCCAGGGAAATCATCAGTAAACACTCCACTTTTATTGAAGAAATGTGCATTAAGTAGTGACACACTTGGCATAACAAATGTAACATTATTGATAGCTGCCACAATTCGGAATTCTCTGTAACATGATTCACAAGGGTTGAGTCCAAGACTAATGGTGAAAAAAAGAGAATGATCAATTTTCAGTGGGACTTTTGCTGGATGTTTTCTTGAATTCAAGCTTCTGAGAGAGTCCATAAATTTAATTGCAATAGGGGTTGCATTTGTAGGCGGCGGCACGGTTAAAGTTGTTGTGGTGGAAGAAGTATTGGTGCCTATATATTGTAAAGTAGCAGTAGCAGTTCTGTTATTCACTAAGATAGGAGAATCCATGTATGCTGATGTTACCATTAAGTATTTGCCACTTTCAAGATCAGCTGATAAAATGACATTTGTAGTCTGTCCTGGAGTTGTTAAAATGGTCTCAGTTTTAAAGGGTTTAACATAGGAAGCATCTACTTCAACCACAGTTAGCTTGTGGCCAGCAATCTTAAAGAAAAGTTCTTCATTCAGTGCAGCATTGACTATTCTCAGTAAATACTTCTTGCCTGGCTCCACTAGGAAAGTGAATCCCCCTGTGGATCATTGAACAAAAAAACATTTATGTACCAACTTGTCTAAAAATATATCAAGTCACTTATAAAGTAAATACAGATAAAGTTGTATGACAAGCATAAGCAGCTGACCTAGTAAATATGATGACTAACTTTTTTTTATCACATGTTAAACTACTAATAGTGTTAAAAAAATTTACACTGCAATATATATAACTTTAATCCAAAATATGTTACAAACAGAAAAAGAAGGCAATAGTCCAAAATCTCAAGAATGCTAGAAAGGAAATGACATGAATTTAACCTTGTGATAAGCAGGTTGAGAGAGGACCAGGAAGGCCATTGATGGTGTGAGCATCAGAAATATTAGGGGGCAAACCTAATTTTGTTGCTTCATCAATTACAGCTTCAACATCTGACTTCCACCATTCACCTGCCAATTGAGCCACCAAATTAGTTGTCGATTTGGGATTCTAGTGAAAGATACTGTTGAGGTTATACACCAAATACACATGTGATGCTGCTCTGACAATAGGTAGCCGACCATTGGGATAATGACTTCCAAACAAAGAATGTTTCAACTAGGTTATTCATTTTACAATAAATAAAAAATGGTATGACAAAACATTACCTAAAATGATCAGAATTTCCTTTTGGGGCTTAGGGAATGGGTAGGGAAAAACAAGCTTAGGGAGAATGACAATAGCACCATGGACAGTTGCCCTGAGCCAGAGAATGTGTGCATGCCAAAATAGTGTTCCTCTCTGATCTGTGACTGTAAAATTGTAGACATAGCTTTTCCCTGGCTGTATTGGACATTGTGTTATGTAAGCCGGCCCATCAGCCCACCCTGTCCTTATTTGTTTGACACCATGCCTGTTCATCATTTTTTTAGGAAAATCACAAAGAAAATGGTTGTTTTCCTTTTTAACAAAAAATGTAGGATAGAAATAGTTGTAATAGAGAACTAACCAGTGGATGGTGAGATTATAATGAACTTGGTTAACGACCTTGATAAGTAGGGTATCATCTTCCCTGGCATAGATAGTTGGACCAGGAAATTTTCCATTCACTGTTACAGTAGCTTTAGTTGAGCATAATCTTGTTATATTTTTCATCACCACCTGCATTACAAAATCTCACCAATCATATCGGAGTTTAACTTTCATGCACCAATAGTGTAATATTTTTTTATACTATATATCAAGTAAAATCAACCTCGATATATAGGAGGTAACTGTTTAAAGTGAAGCTTGATATATACTAATCTAAAAAATAAGATAAATAGCATTGCTATAATATCTTGACTTTCTTTATACTGTCAGTTTATATAATTTAAGTCTTTTTATGAAATGTATTGTTACCTTTCTTGAAATGTATATTTAGCTTGTTAGCCAAACTTCCACACCAGAGAAAGAAAAATAGAAGTATAAGAGATTTTAATTCATACAGTCTTTAGCTATATCAATTTTCAATTTAATCTATGAGTTTTGTGATGATCACTGATCCTTTGAAAGATTTTAATCTTTCCATTTCAGCAATTAATCAAATGAGATTTTGTAAAGTGATAAAGTAGTATTGTAAAATGATAAATATTACTATATTGTTGACATGTTTGCCACATATATACTTTATTGATTTGTGGGTTTGTTTAGGAATGCAGAGAATTTGACAGGGGTTGATAGGGATAGGAAGAGAATGATCAAGACAGTGGCTTGTGCGCTACAAACGCAATTTAGACTTTATATTAATGTACCCAATCGAAAATATTTTTTAAAAAAATGAAGAACCACATTTTGCATGATTACCAAATATTTTGGAAAATGACATTCCATCAGTTAATCTTGCATCAGAATTCACCTTTGTGTTTGACGCAAAATCAAGATGCACATGCATGCTGCTTTATATTGACATATTTCTTTCCATAGATATTTCAGGTAAATATGGGTTAAACTAGGAAAATAATGAACTAATAATAATGAAAATTGATGATAATCTTTCGCTTCATAAGTCAATATATTCATTGAAATCTGTTCCTGCGAACTTTATGTATTACCTCCAATAAGTAGTACCATTTTTATACTTTCAAGACTAGGAAAACCTTAACCCCTCATGATTTGGTAAGAGGATAAATAAATAATTTTTATACTATTGTGTCACTTAAAAAAAAATAACTACACGTGTAATTGTCCTTATTAGTTGAAATTAATAATATAAACAATAAGGCAAACAAACTGTTATAATATGTTAAATTATAATGATAAATTTATATTGTTAGTGTATAATTTTGTCAAGGTAAAAACTTAGTTGCACCCTATTTCGGAAAGTTTTTACCTTTTGTGCTTATGTAATTTGCAAAACTATTGATTGGTATATGTAGAATGAACTTACATTGAATTTATAATGACGGATATTGCCTCTGCATTCTACCAACACTGGCCACAAGAGAGCCAACACCACCATAATTCTCAGCCATTCCGCCATTTCCCCCACAATCTTTTATCTCTCTATCTCATTTCTTGTACTTAAGTGTATATATTTAGTGAGCTAGAGAGGAAGTACAACGACCTATCTTATATATAGTCTATACAAGAACGTCATTTTTATAACTAGTTTGGTGGATAAACGAGATGCTTCTAGGGGAAGATCAAACTCCGTACCACTATCCAGATGAACCCTCATTTTTTGATATATACTGATTTCTTTCTTGTAATTTACACAAACGTTGTTACATGCATGTATCATTCCAAATGGTAAACTCCTTTTTGAAGCGAAGCTAGCATGGCGGACTTAGAGCATTGTATATGGGTTACCGGGAACCAGTAACTCTTGGGTAGACCCTGTATTTATATTAAAAAATTTACTAAATATTTCTAAATATCTAATTGTGAACCCAATTATTATTGCATATTAATTTGAAATTACGGTAGGAACTCATAAGCCTTAAATTTTGAATCCGCCTCTGGCTACATGCATATACAATATTCAACTTTTAACCCTTAATAAAAATTTAAAATATCCCACTTTGAACTTGGGTTGGTCCAACCTATATCTGTGGTTCAATTACGACGTACAAAAGAAATCCAAGTCCAAGTGTCCAACTTTATCCATGTAAAAACTTAAGTCAAAACGATGACAAGAATTGAAACATGAGTACCAACTAAAGCGCGCTTATCTAAGTTGCCTCTAGTAAATTAATACTAACAAAACTCAGCAGTAGTTGATATTAACAGATAGCTTACAACATGGTTCAGAGCAGATAAAACTTTAGAGTCAGAGATCTTGACCAATAATTAATAAAAGCTTTACTGATTAGTAAGACCATAATATATACTACAATTTTCTCATGTATTATTGAAATGAGCTGTATCTTGGTTGTATTGCTTTGTAAAAAAACAGATGTAGGTGAGAGTTGCATTATTCCAAAAGAGTTTGAAGAGTTCTTGTGGAAGAAAGAAGTGAGAACGTACCTTGTAGTTAGAGAGTTACTATCATAGAGCCTGCGCTGTCACCAAAAGATTTTGGAAACAGCTCAATATATTCGTCCTATGAATAGTTAAATCTTGTCATAAAATTCTCAAAAGTTTGGCTTTAGTAATTTCTTAGCTCAGCCAAGACTTAAAAGGGGAGTGAATTCTACTTTTTATATATGCGTCAATATTGTTTAGACGCACACATGGTCCAAACTATAATTAACTATAGACGCAGTGAGTTTTGGCAACTCTGTTGCGTCTAATCTAGATATCATCACCAACCTGCTTTGGCTAAGTCGTTTTAGTATAATTCAATCTTGGACAGACGACTCCTGATAATTAATGTCAATTTCTCTTTTGAATGTTTCGCAGGGATTCCATAACTCCATGTCATCCAGTCATTAATGCATGTTATATACGTTTAATGTCATTTTCCAATTCAATAAACAATTAAACTACAATCCAATTCCATTCTGATTTATGTCGACGCTCCAATAATTTATTTTCAACATTAATAAACCTTCTAGAGGCTAATTTCGGTTTCCTTGTATCTTTTGTTTTTCCTTTTCTTTCTTCTCTCTCTGATCCTCCATCACCCCACCCCCCACCCCCATTTTTTTTTTTTTTTTTTTTGAAAAGTTGTATCGCATATTCATTCTTTTCGACACTGTGCAAATAATTACTGAGGAGAATGCAATTTCATATTATACCACTTAATTGCCAGATCATACTCTCAGCCGTTTCTTCCTTTTTTGTTGTCCCCGGTCCATCTATCTCTGAAAACAATTACTTATAAAAAGAGAGAGAAAATTATTCTGAAAACGAGTAGTTATCTTGGTAACACATTACAGTAGAATGATTCTTGTAAACTTTAATGATAAACCTTCTTGACAAAAGTGGGTTGCTCTATTGGTGAGTACCCTCCACTTCCAACCAAGAGGTTGTGAGTTCTACGTACACAATACCCTTCCCAGATTTCACTAGTGGAATTATACTGGGTTGTTGTTGTTGTTGCTTCTTAAGACTAGGTATCCATTATTCTTTTCTCTTTTCTTTATCATGCACTAAAATTTTCAAATTGCTCGTACATTTATTTTCTCTATACAAGGAGGAAGCCGGGGAAGAAAGAAGATTTTTTGAATCTAAAAATAATTACTTGTTTCCAATATGCAGTCGATTGTAAAGACATACTTCATACTAGCCTAATGGTAGTGTGTCATTACATCTAGGAAGAAGCAAATTGCCGTGGTTAGTCCCTTTTCAATATGTAGTAGTAGGCGATTTTATCTATAAGGTCGTCAATCATCACAGTCACGCTCTCTATTTAAAAATAGTTTCTCCTTTTATTTTACTCTCGCTATTATAGATTAATAATACTTACTTTCAAATACTGAATCAAAAAATTAATTTAGAACTGTATACAGGTAAAACCGGGGTTAGTGAGCACCCCGATTTTTCGGCGGGGCAAATAAAGCAAGGACATAACTACATGGAAACAGAATTGAAGCTAAGAACCTCTCGTACTAAGGCTCGAATGAAGCGCTTACCACCGAGGCCATCGAGACAACGCCCCCGGAATCCAGTTCGGGCTCCAAGACCTCGGAAGGCATAACCAAACGGTTGTACATGGCTAACGAAGGGCCGTGATACCCGCGCCCAACCAGATATCACGGCGTGGGTCTCGGCCCATATCGACAACGGATAAGTGATTAACGAAAAAGAAGATTTTTACCCTTTTTAGAATTGTACTTGGGGTAAAACTCCTCTACTACATAAAGGGAAAGTTTATTGTTCAATACACACATAGTAACACGCATATCAAGACAATATACACTTGTTTTCTCTACCTCTAAAGTTATTCAAAATTCTTATTTTGCTCATAGTTCTTCATTAGTAATTGGTTTCGAATTGAGGGCAGAACAATACCTAAGCTCATATTCGAGCTCGGACCTAACATCATAACTGGTTGTCTTTAATTCACTTATTTAACGTTATTGATCACTTGTATTAAATAAGTCTGCATATCATTAAAATCGCATATAAATTTAATTGTTATCCATTTTTAAGGGTATACAGTTTGGCGCCCACCGTGGGGCTAAGGATAATAGTGATGGTTTGATACAAATCTCCATAAGGCACTCTATTTTACACTTGTTCTTTAAGGTCTAAATTTCATCTCAGCTTAAAAATGTCAAGTTCTCAATCCGCTCACTTGAACGTTGAGGATGGATCTAGCCATTATGGCGAAAACAACAATCTGGTGCCTAGCAATGAGGTGCCTCCTACTGATCCCAACGGGGTCCCAGTTGTAGGCCCAGTCGATACTAACTCACATGTGGCCATCGACGACAACCTTCCTACTAACCCCGAAAATAACGTTCGTGGAGGAGCCGAACCAACGGCTCAGGGAGCACCCGAAGGCGAAGGCGACTGGGTCAGTCTACGATTGATCTTCGAAATGCTACATGCTCAGGAGGCGGCGATAGCGCAACTGCAAAACCAAAGCCGCGCCCCCAGCAGAGTTGAGCCCGAATCGCCCCGGAAAAAAACCCGAAGAAATGAGCAGATCACCAAAAGGCCGGGCGAAGCTGAGTCCGGTGTCAGCCCTGAAGTGATGAAAATGCTAGATTTATTAATGAAACGAGTGGAATCTGGTGAAAAGAAAATTGAGGCAAATGATAAGAAGGTAGAGACATACAATTCCCGAGTTGATCAAATCCCAGGAGCGCCTCCGATATTGAAAGTCCCGGACTCTAAGATATTTGTCCAAAATCCTTTCCCTCTGAGCGCGACACTGAAACCAATCCCGAAGAGGTTTCATATGCCTGACATTCCAAAATATAATGGAACCACGGATCCAAATGAGCACGTCACCTATTACACATGCACCATCAAAGGTAACGACTTGGAAGACGACAAAATCGAGTCGGTGTTATTAAAGAAGTTTGGGAAAACTCTGTAAAAAAGAGAGATGATATGGTACCATAACTTGCCCCAAACTCCATTGATTCGTTCGCTATGCTCGCGGATGCTTTTATAAAAGCTCATGCCAGGGCCATCAAGGTTGAGACCAGAAAATTGAACCTTTTCAAAGTTAAGCAAAGCGACAACGAGATGCTTAGGGAGTTTGTGTCAAGGTTTCAAATGGAACGTATGGATATGCCTACGGTTGCGGATGATTGGGCCATTCAGACATTCACTCAAGGACTTAACCCCCGAAGCTCCCTGACTTCGCAGTAGTTAAAACAAAATTTGGTAGAGCACCCGTCGATAACTTGGGCCGATGTCCACAACAAGTAGCAGTCAAAAATCAGAGTCGAGGATGGTTAGCTCGGGGCCACTTCCCAGTCCGTTTATCCCATAAAAAATGAAGACATGCCTAAGAGAGTCATCGATCATGAATCAAGGCTGGTCCGAGATCGGTATCAACAATATATTGCAGATCGAGGGGGAAACAGGTCGAGGCGCAACTCTACAAGGAACGAAAGGAGAAGCAATCGAGGGCCCAATAGCCGAGGCCTGATGAGCAAAAATGGGTTTGACAGTCCGCTCGGGGGAATGGGAAGCTCCAAGATTATCAGAGTATAACTTTAACGTCGATGCAGCCAGCATCATAATTGCCATCGGGTGCATCATAGAGACTAAATGGCCTTGACCATTGCAGTCCGATCCTACCTAAAGAGATCCTAACTTGATGTGTAAGTATCATGGCACTCATGGACAAAGGACCAAGGACTGCCGACAATTGAGAGAAGAAGTTTGTTGGTTATTTAATAACGGACACCTGTGAGAATTTCTAAGTGATCGAGCCAAAAACCACTTCAAAAATAGGGATGCCAACAAACAGACTGAATTAGAGGAACACGTCATCAACATGATCATTGGAGGGGTCGATGTCCCTCAAGGGCCTGTGATAAAACGCACTAAAGTGTCGATCATAAGAGAGAAGCTCACCGGAGATTTTATCTCGGAAGCAACCATTTCATTCAGCGTTGAGGATACAGAGGGGATCGTACAATCTCATAACGATGAATTGGTAATTTTCGTACTTATAAACAAATCACGAGTTAAACGTGTGTTGATTGATCCAGGTAGCTCGGCCAA